AAATGGGCGAGCTTGATTTTTTAAATGGAATTTTTCTTTTCAGGCGGAGTTACCGGATGATGGAGTAGTGATGAGGGCATCGGCAAATACCGATTGGTCAGTGGGAGGTGTGTTTGAGAAGAAACTTTCGAGAAATTTGCCATTTACATTGGCAATATCCGGAATGCTTAATCATGTGAAAGGTCAGGGAAAATTCGGTATCGGCCTGATCATTGGTTGACGGCTGATCAGCTCAGTTTGTTCTACACAGATGTGATGATAAAGGCTTGGGCCGATTTTGTTTTTTGATAATTCGTTCAGCTTTGTTGAATAGTACTCACACACTGGCCTCATTCGCAGCACATTTACTTCCTCTCTGCCACGCCGGGGGGTTCGTTCGTGTTTCGGTTGATAGATTATCGCTAATAATACCATGCTAGAGCAATTGTTATCTTGTTTTGCTAAGTCATTGTTAACAGTAGTTGTTTGATCTAGATTAAAAATGAATGATTAAATTTTGTGAATTTGCATTTCCTGAGCACAAAAATTATGACACACGTTAGATTCGTAAGTGAAAAATTTAATTTACTGTATTTTACTTGAAAATCCAAAAAAATCATTGAGATGCACGAAATACGCAATTTTTGTGAATACCAAGACCGCTCAGGCCGCCAGTACAGGTATCCTGTGTTAATGATGTTACTGGGATCCTCCTACTCGCCGACCACAACTATGCCAGGCCCTCTGATCCTGGGGATCGTGGATAACTGTTGAAAAGCTAGATCTTTTGAACAATTTCTCCTGCGTAAGCACTAAACAAACGATTTTCACCTCATTGAAGCTTCTTATGGAGAAGAGAAGGGTTGATTTTTTTTTTAGTTTTTTCTATAGCGATACATTTTTTTCCCTAGCGTCTTCTGGACAGGTTGTTTCGCTGTTTAAAAGAGGTTTAAATTTTCTCGGGGTATTTTTTCACAGTGATAAAGCAGTTCCCCTTTTTACAATTTTTTCAAAACCCCCCTCTCCCTCCTTTTTTTCTCTACACCCATGATCCATCCTCTCCCTTACCCTACCTCCTTCTCTGTTCTTCGTGAGACTTCCTCCAGTTCCCCTCCTCTGATCACTCACCTTCAACTTTCTCGGTCATTCTCGGCCTTCATAAAACAAAGTTTTAGTAGTACATCAAGAGGGGAGTTGCCAGATGTGCTGTGATGGTTAATAGGATCTGTGTCAGTAAAATTTCCTTGAAATGATTAAACAGTTTTCCCGTGGCCTTATATATTTTACTTTTTTGTTTTTACCTCGAAATAAGCAGCTCGTTCAAAAAAAATTATGTTGCGATAAATCTTCATCGAACTATAGCTTTGCAAGCTTGCCGAAATTGAAAACTTTTCTACTGCATGCAAAATCCTCCAAAAAATCGTTTTTTTTTTAGTTTATAACTTTCTTTTGAACGACCTTCATTAGCGCCCTTGTCTGCTGATATTATA